ATGTGTCACGGTCAGAGGAAGAAGGGGTTACCACCCAAAAGGGTCTGAGACGGCAAAAGGAGGTGTATGACATTTGGCCAATTTGCTCAGAGAGAAACCTCCTATGCAAGTTCTTCATTGTATCAGTAAGCAACCACTTTTGCATTTTTTTCTTCAGCCGTGTGACTGTTTGTTTGCGGCCAGTTGTCATTCGACTAACATCATCTCGAAGAAAAAATGATGTAACGTTCTTCCTAATCTCATTTCGACTGAAGCACCTCCTCCCACGGTAGGTTAGATCCACAGGATACTTTGCTCTCTTCTTAGAGTAGCCAAAAGCAGTCTGGGCATGCTTTTGGAGTTTATACTTCTTAAGAATGTTTCCACTGACCACTTTTGCTATCAGCTGCTTCTCTCGGTTTGTTTTTGCATGTTCATATTTTCTTCTAATATCTTCAATCAGGGATGTATGGAAAAGAAGAGCTCTTTTGATGGGTGAATTCACTTTTTGATGTGCCAACAAAGCATTGACTTTTGTACGTGGTGATTTGGACGCACTTTCTTTCTTGGCCCGATAGTACCTCTTCTTATATTTCTCAGTTTTACTTTTCTCTTTTGTGAGCTGTGCCTCTAATATTTCGATCTGTTTTTTCAGTTTTCTCTTCGAACTCCTTCGAATGCTTTCCCCTTGACGCCGTTGCCTGAAACACAAAATATTTGTAAGGATTTTTTTTTGCAAGTTAGTTATCAATATGTCATTTTATGGGGACATAAACAGTTGATAATTGTCCTTCAAATAAATCTAAACTTTCTAATAAGTCTCATCAGCTAAACTTCCAATGATCTAACCTGGAGGGCCCTGGCTCATGCTGATTTTCAGGAGTTTCAGCAGGGGAGTTGGGTGGTGTCTCTGACTGTAGCAAAGCACTGGCCCTGTTTCTGGCTCTGGCTTGACTTTTTGCCTCTCTCCATTTCTTTCTTTTTGCCCTCTTCTCTCTCTCACTGAGCTCATTGACACCCTTCTTCTTTCCAGTCTCTCTGTCTTTTTTCCATTTGACCCTTTCTTTCTCAAGGTACTTTCTTCTTCTGTCTGGGTCAGCATCACGACGTTCCCGATATCTCCTTGCTATCTCAGCTCCTTTTTATCTCATTCCTTGAAAAAGACGATTCAAAATGTTCCCTTACACACTTTAATTGGCAGTCCCGGTAAACTAGGCTTGCATTATCAAACTAGGTTTGCTGATACCGATATCGCCAAAAAAATTGTCCATATTGTCCATTCTTACTATGTATAGCATGTACTGTTATAAAATGTGTGTAATAGCTGTTGTAATATGTGTAACATTATCAGTATGTGGCCTAAACTATGCACATGTCCTTCCTGTCATGAACCATGTCCACCCTGTCATGGAAGGCTTGCTGACAGGGTGGACAATGACAGGGTGGACATTTTTGGCTAATGTTAGCATTTAATGAGCACATGGTGGACCTTCACTTAACAACATACTACAGTTAGCAAGCTGACTGTGTACTGTTTTACAAATATATTTCAAAGTTCTGATAGGTTTTTCTATCAATTGATATTTCACTATGACAGAGTGGACATGTTAAGCTTGACAACATCCAACTACACACATAATATGATGAAAATTATGAAACATAAGTGTAAATACTTACTCTGCAACTAGACACTGCTTCAGCCTTCATTGAAGAAAGACAAAATGCTCATAGTGATGTCACTGAAAACATCAGTGGGTTTCTTAAAGGGGCAGTTACCCCATAATGACAGGGTGGACAGCAATTTCAGGGACACATGCAAAATGTTCAATATGATTATGAAAATACAATATGCATGATCAAAATTACTTGTTTTATCAAATAACTTATTGTGGACAGTAAAACCATGTAAAAAAAAAATTGGATTTAGTATCATTTAACCACTTATTACACACACTGTAGTTAGCAGAGCAGTGTGTGGGACATGCCAAAATCACATACATCCCAATGAGAAAAATTTAATAAAATGAAGGAAACACTTTTTTAGAGACTTATCATTCTACTGATATGTGTGCAAATGTTTGGCCACTTATAATAAGACCTCAGACTTTCATTATTCTGCTACATTTTCATGATGACTGAGTGAGTCTGATGAGGACACCAAAGGCACCTCATAGTGATATTGACTCAATTGCGGCTGGTGCGGATGAACAAACAGCTGACGCGCGCACCACTAGCGTGCTCACTCTCCAAGAATAAAGACCCAACTTCAAAGACCGCAAATTTGATTTTAAAAAATCCACGCAGGTGCACAACGGTTCACGGAATTGTGTCATACTTAAGCGACTAGCCTACAGTTATAGCCTATTATATTATGTTTCAGCATTCAAATTGAAATTCCACTACAGGGAATGATTATCAAGGCATACAGAAAACATTTATTTCAAGTAAGCCATTAGAAAATACTCAACTATCTGTCTCTCTTTCACCGCATGGAGTAGGAAACATGCACTTGTTTGTATGAAAAACAACGAAATCGCGCAATCGAACTTGAAGTGATTTTGAGGAAATTGTGCCAATACCACAAGAAAAATCTAACCCTTCAATAGTCAAATTGAAGTTCAACCAACTTTGAAATAAACGTCCAAGACACGCCATAAATAAATCACCGCCTTCTTGGAAAGCACAAACTACTCACGCATAAAAATCCATTAAATTCCACTCGCAACATCTGTAGCCTACTGTAGGCTACAATACTCAGTGCGCGTGACGCAGATCAACTCTGAATTGAAACTATGCAATATTAAACATTCCCATACAGAAAATGATCATATTATTTTATTGCAGGCTAAATATCCCTATATTTGCCATGTTTGAGGATATGTAGGGTATTTCCCCTTCCTTCCTTCCTTGTCTGCCATTTACATAATCATTGTTGCATCAATTGAATCGAAATGTACCCTATGTTTTCCGCAAAATACATTTAATTAAGTTGACTCTCTATCGAACAAATTACTGTAACAGTAGGAAAGTTAGCAAACCTCATGCAGGAATTCTTCCAGTCTCTAGCAGCATACTGTTAACTGATCTCCTAAATGCTGTTCTGTAGATTTGCCTGCATAAACACTTATCATAAGAATGGCAACTGCACAAAACTTTACCTGTTGCAGGCGTTGTTGTTCGGAAAGAGAGAGGGGGAAGAGTTGTGATTGATTGGTCCTCTCTCACTGCTTGCACAATGCTTGCACACTGCTTGCCAAGGTCCCTCGAAGTGTCACACTACTTACCTCAACCTATGCACGCCTTTATATCCTGGGGGGCAAATATCTAAGCGGAGTTCTCTTCTTTTCAATCTTGCCTGTTGTAATCTTTTTTTCTTTGTTTTTTTTGCCACAATATTCAGGCGTGACTTTTCCCGGGTCTCGAATCACACTGTAGCTGAATGGAAACTAGATTTACCTTTTCCAGTGTTAACCCTTAATACACCTGTATTGCATTTATACACCATTTATACACAGTTCTGACAACGGTCTAGTACCCTACTGGTCCTTATTAGGAGAGTGCGTGAAGCGTAATGTCCACAATAAACTAACTCTTCCAACATTTGATGTTGTCATTGGAAAAGGATTGCTCATTGTATTAATTTACTGAAATAGTATTAAAGGTAGAGTCAGTAATATGACACGTAGATGCTCAAAGTAAACAGCATAGTGGGTCAATTTCCGCAACAACTAAGAGCGTTGGAGCACAAGGCTAAACTTCTCCGCTGTTTTAATCCCGTAGCCACCACATTGTAAAAGCGTGAAGCGAACCCGAGCACATGTGCAGATACTCTGTGTGATTGTGTGAGAGTGAGGTATTGCATCTTGCTCATCCAAAATCTGCGGTCATGCTCGTGCAAGGTCATTTGGCTGACTCTACCTTTAAATCCATTGGTATAATAACAAATGCATAATCATATAACTGTGCCCATTTAAATTATATCACAGAGTATTGTTATGACTCATGACTGAAATAAAACTTTTGAATTTGGTTTCCTTATTGAATCCAATAATGTGGGTATGAAATACTCAGGTGTGAATATCAAGACCTTCTCAAGCACACCATAGCCTAAGGTTATGCAATATCACTGGAAGTGCACTATGCAGAATTGATGGGCACAGGTTGCATTTTCACAAGATGACAACTAAACATACATCTTACTTATTGGTACAAGCAAAATACAATATGTGGATGGTTATAATATAATAGCCTACCAAAATGTCGGAAATTATAAACCGAAACATATCTAAATCAGGCAAAAAAAGATCCTGCGTCCCCTGTCAACAAAATAGTTCTGCTGTCTTTGACTGTAGCCTACAGCGCATTTTATATTAGTGGGTTAGGGTCGGTTGTGGGCTTCAGATTTTCACTTTATCACATAGCATAGCTTATAGTCGGGCGGTTTGTATTTTTAAAAATCCACGCATTTGCACAACAGTTCACGGAACTGTGTCATACTTAAGCAACTAGCCTACGGTTATAGGCCTATTATATTATGTTTCAGCATTCAAATTGAAATTCCACTACAGGGAATGATTATCAATTATTTAAAATAAGCCATTTAAAAAATCAGGTGGTACATTTTTCAGTGAAGATTGAACAATGTGCAATACAAGCAGAGGGTTTCATTTCATTGTAATTACAGCACCATTTAAGGCCAAATCTGCTCCAATAGGCCTATGTTATCCAAGGCAAGTTATCTTTAATGCATTAGAGGTCATGTTTAGAGGTGAGGCTTGTCATACTTCCAGGGGAGTTGAACTACTGCCACTAATGTAACAATGCATGAACAAATAAAGCATACAATACATTACAACAGATTGTGTATTTTTGTGATAAATAAATTTTCAATTCGATAAAAAAAAGTGGTTGATTTAATAAACTGAAATGGATAGTTTTTCAGCCTTGAATGCACGGTTTTAGCAAAATGAAAATACGGAATGTGCTGAGTTGAATAGCAAGATAGCTTAATTTGAGTTTACCATCACGGAAGTAGCCACTAAAGTAAAACATTTCAGGCCGACAGCAATAATGTTGCAACTGCAATTTACCAAAGATACTTTACCAGATTCTGTGAGCAATGACTTTCAGAACTTGAACAAATTCAACGAACAGGTGAGCATTCGATAACGCGAAATGGTCGTTTTGAGCGTTAGATAAGAACAGTGAAGCTACACTGCAGTTGGATGCAAATCTTAGCTGTATGCTTGTAGTCATGAATTGACATACCGGTAGTAGTCAAACTTTTTTGGAATCATGCTGTTTTTAATATGATACAATGTTGCAAAATGAAGATGAAACACATTTGTGTCGACAAAGATATACATTTGCTAGACATTTGTGCCTGAGCAAAGATTGCCTATTATATTGACAAGATAGTCAAATGACTGCTCTAACAATGGAAATACGTATCCTCAAAGATGGAAGGCAGGCTGGAGGAGGCAAGATCAGGCGGGGCCATTCTAGCCAATGAGAGGGCAGATACACGTGCGAAGAACAGTTCTTAGGGATAGAGGACTCATCTTTGAATCGGTGCCATTATAGTGTCTGTGACAGCATGGGCAGCACCATTGAGGCCGTCTCCATTTTATTTAAAGTAGTCCATTTTCTTCTTCTTCATTGGCTGATTGCTCCCAACTCATAGGAATCCCCACCCAGTTGACTACTTTAAAATGGTGGAAGCCCTAAATGGCAATGTCCATGTTAAAACAGGTTATATCCATAATGAGTCCTCTATCTATCTCTATGAACACAGGCACAACTCCTATATACATTTACATTTACATCATTTAGCAGACGCTCTTATCCAGAGCGACTTACAAATTGGTGCATTCAACTTATGATAGCAAGTTGCCGAAATGCCACATGAGTTCACTTATATCAGTGCATTCGTAACAACCTAACCATTACGAAACTTCTATTAGATCAAATAAGCCTCAGGTAGCAAATTAGCAATTACATTTTTTGTTGACCAAATTCAACTCTCTCATTGACCTCTACACAAAAATTCCTCACTTTGTGGGCTTATTTTCATAGACAGATTTTGGGCAGAGTAAAACCTCTCACTTTGCCTCTTCCTCTTTGGTTACATGACTAGCAAGTGTCACATGATTCATAATTCTAATTAGGTTTAGCCCACCTTACCTGTCGACCAAGTAGATCTGTGGCAAAATAGGAATCACTGTATTGAAGAGGCCAATAAACACTATTTTTTAACTGTTTCCCTGTAGCAATTCACAAGTCTGACTGAGATTATTTTCAATTTCCTGTTGGAGCCAAAAAAGGTAAACATACACACACACACACACACATTAACTTATTTTTTACATTTTAGTCATTTTGCAGACACACTTATTCAGACCGACTTACAGTTAGTGAGTGAGACAACCACATATCAAAGTTGTAGTAAGTAAATGTTTCCTCAAAAAATATGTTATCAGCAAAGGCAGTGCTATTAGGAAAAGTCAAGTGCTAGATTACATTTTTTTGGGGAGGGGGGAATAAGACTGAGATGTCTTATTTAATATATTATTTGAAGAGCTTTTTCATTCATGTTGTGCTGTGTGGACAGACAGTCACTTGGCTGGTGTTTCATTCATTGTGTTGTATATGCAGACGGACAGGTTCCTGCATCAGCTGAGTGAGTTTGCAGGAGAGAATGGAATGAGTGCAGGCCCACTGAGGAACCTCATGAAGAGCGTCCTGCTGCTTCCCCATGGTGAGACTGACAGAGCACTCACAAATAAGCAGATTTAAAAATAACTTTTGCTTTTAGCTGCAAGTATGTACAACATGAAATACACATAAACCAAAATATTGTAAAGATTCCATCACACATCTTAGATGGACGGTATATCAAGGAAACTGTCCTTTCTTCTGGTCCATACTGTTACCACCATAGAGATACTGAACAAAAATATAAACTAAAAATGCAACAATTTCAAAGATTGTACTGAGTTACAGCAAATCAGTCAATTTAAATAAATAAATTAGGCCCCAATCTATGGATTTCACATGACTGGGAATACAGATATGCGTCTGTTGGTCACGGATACCTTAAAAAAAAGGGATGGGCCTATCTGGTGTGACCACCATTTGGCTCCTTCGCAAAGCGTTGATCAGGCTGTTGATTGTGGCCTATGGAATGTTGTCCCACTCTTCTTCAATGGCTGTGCGAAGTTGCTGGATGTTGGCGGGAACTTTAAAACGCTGTCGTACACATCGATCCAGAGCATCCCAAACATGCTCAATGAGTGACATGTCTGATGAATATGCAGGCCATGTAAGAACTGGGACATTTTCAGCTTCCAGGAATTGTGTACAGATCTTTTCGACATGGGGCCGTGCATTATCATGCTGAAACATGACGTGATGGTGGCTGATGAATGTCACGGTATCTCTGTGCATTCAAATTGCCATCGATAAAATGCGATTGTGTTCGTTGTCTGTATCTTATGCCTGCCCATACCATAACCCCACCGCCACCATGGGGCACTCTGTTCACAATGTTGACATCAGCAAATCGCTCGCCCACACAATGTCATACACATGGTCTGCGGTTGTGAGGCCGGTTGGACGTACTGCCAAATTCTCTAAAACGACGTTGGAGGCGGCTTATGGTAATGAAATGAACATTAAATTATCTGGCAACAGCTCTGCTGGACATTCCTGCAGTCAGCATGCCAATTGTATGCTCCCTCAAAACTTGAGACATCTGTGTTGTTTGACCAAACTGCACATTTTAGAGTGGCCTTTTATTGTCCCCAGCACAATGTGCACCTGTGTAATGATCAGCTTCTTGATATGCCACACCTGTCAGGTGGATGGATTATCTTGGCAAAGGAGAAATGCTCACTAATAGGGATGTAAAGAAATGTGTGTGCAAATTTGAGAGAAATAATAATTTTGTGCGTATGGAACATTTCTTGGATCTTTTATTTCAGCTCATGAAACATGGGACCAACACATTACATGTGTTTATATTTTTGTTCAGTGTATATTTAAGTATGTGGTTACAACAACCTCAAATTGTAAATCCATATGAATTCAATAACTTTTTGATAGCATCCCTTTTGATTTAAACAAAACTTTCCATACATGTTTGGACCTGAAAGCCAAAACATTCATGAGATAGAGGTGCTCAATGTTGACCCATTTTGCATACCCCACCATCTTTTCATCACTGGAAAATATAAATGGTTTAGTTTGATATCCTTTAAAAGCTTACAAACAGGGTTGTTGAACTATTTTATAATTTCTTGAAAAAAATGTTGTTTTAGCAAAAATTCTTCAATTGTTTTACCTTTAATGTAAATTATTTAAAAAATGCATAAACTCAGATTTTTTTCATATTCGCATATGTTGTAGTTTAGACCCTACTTTACATCATCTGATGTTTTTGTGTTGGACCCGCCATCAGTTGAGACACAACATACTCATGAATATAGGGTGGGTGTCATTTCAATCATATAAATATATTTAATAGAATGGACCTATCCCTTTTGAACAATTTAGCTGGTACACCATGGGTAGGCAACCTTGGTCCTGGAGTGCTGCAGGCACTTCAAGTTTGTGATTTAACAGACCTGGAAGACCAGCCACTGTGGTAGGTTGATAATTGCTAGACAACCATTTTCAGGTCTTGCCTTAGATTTTCAAGTAGATTTAAGTCAACTGTAACTTGGCCACTCAGGAACATGCACTGTCTTCTTGGTAAGTAACTCCAGTGTAGATTTGGCCTTGTGTTTTAGATTATTGTCCTGCTGAATGGTGAATTCATCTCCCAGTGTCTGGTAGAAAGCAGACCGAACCAGGTTTTCCTGTAGGATTTTGCCTGTGCTTCGCTCCATTCCATTTCTCTTATTTATCCTGACAACTTTAGCACTGTTACAGACTTACTCCTCTTTTTTTAACAATAGCCTATATAAAAATATAAACATCTCTGGTGCTGCTGCATGGGCTCATTCGTTGTCTTGCTATCATTACACAGGCTGTGTGACTCATTTCTTGGTCGACTCATATCAACATCTCTATGCATTAGTGGTGGGGTAGGCTAAATACCTACAACAGAATAGGCCTAATTAAAAGAACAGTGATGAAGGAAATGAAATAGAGAGAAGGCGCGAGAGAGAAGGCCAACACTCATAAAAAAATATACAAAAAGTCTGCTCCAGCCAAATTGCGCATTCTCCGCTCCACTCCACTCACATCCTCTGGGCATAACACAAAAACCTCAGATGATGTAAAATAGGGTCTAAGCTACAACATAGTCAAATGTGAAAAAAATCTGAGTTTACGCGTTTTTAGATAATTTACGTTTAAAGGGTAGGAGGTAACATAAACGTAACCAGATGTAACATATGGATTTGCATTAGTATACGCATCAATAGTCCCAATGCAATGTTACACCTCAGTTTAAATTTTTCGAGTTATTACATAAGACCGATCAGAATGCCAAAGTCATGCCGGAAAATATTTTTGCGGGGTGTGAGTAATATGGAGGACCTGGCAAGCCAGCCTATTACCTATAATGTAAACTCCAACAGAAATAACTTCATATTAAACCAAATCATTTGCACTCATGACTACTAGTTTCAATGTCATTTTCAGCCAACTTACAAGCAAATACTTTATGAATTTATTGTTACAAATCAGCTTTCAAGGTTGCTAGCCAACTAGCCTGCTAACGTGACATTAGCACTGCATGAGTCAGCCAGTTTTTATTAACACCTAACTTACAGCTACAGTGAGGGAAAAAAGTATTTGATCCCCTGCTGATTTTGTACGTTTGCCCACTGACAAAGACATGATCAGTCTATAATTTTAATGGTAGGTTTATTTGAACAGTGAGAGACAGAATTTTCTCCCTCACTTTTCTCCCTCACTGTACATTAAAGTAAACCAATGTTTTGGAAATACATAACGCCATCTAACCAGTCAACAAATAATGTTGCCGGTATATGCAGTTATCTTAGCAAGCAAGCCAGACAGATAAAGTTACTTATTTTAGCCTGCTAGCTAGTCTAGCCAGCTAACTAGCCTAGCTAGCCAACCACCACGGTCGACATAGCTAAGTAGTAAGACAGAGAAAAACATCAACTAGTCTAGCACAGGTAGGAACCCACAGAAAACACACAAAAAACCCAGCAGATATAAAGTAGAGAGAGTGGAGACTTCCCGATTGATGGCTGAGTTGGCTACCAAAGAAGAGCCAAGGAGAGAGGTGCTTCAGAGGGAGAGGCCGTTTCACCGGCCGAGGGAGAGTCAGCTAATCCAATAGCGATATAGTAAGGTAAATCCAAAGTAGATAGATTCCAGAGGCAATAATCCAGAGGCGGCATTGGGCACAGCAAACAAGGGGAAGAGTCAACAATAAGATGGCAATCGGAGATGGAAGCAATCACAACAGCACAGTCAGTCAGCTACTGTAGTGCACTAGTACTAAGCCAAGGTTGAAAAACTGATAAAGCGAAAATAGGTTTTTAGACATTTTTGCCAATTTGTTAAAAATAAAAAACAGAAATACCTTATTTACATAAGTATTGCTATGAGACTCGAAATTGAGCTCAGATGCATCCTGTTTCCATTGATCATCCTTGAGATGTTTCTACAACATGATTGGAGTCCACCTATGGTAAATTCAATTGATTGGACATGATTTGGAAAGGCACACACCTGTCTATATAAGGTCCCACAGTTGACAGTGCATGTCAGAGCAAAAACCAAGCCTTGAGGTCGAAGGAATTGTCCGTAGAGCTCCGAGACAGGATTGTGTCAAGGCACAGATCTGGAGAATGGTACCAAAACATTTCTGCAGCATTGAAGGTCCCCAAGAACACAGTGGCCATCATTCTTAAATGGAAGAAGTTTGGAACCGCCAAGACTGTTCCTAGAGCTGGCCGCCCGACCAAACTGAGCAATCAGGGACGAAGGGCCTTGGTCAGGGAGGTGACTAAGAACCCGATGGTCATTCTGACAGAGCTCCAGAGTTCCTCTGTGGAGATAGGAGAACCTTCCAGAAAGACAACCATCTCTGCAGCACTCCACCAATCAGGCCTTTATGGTAGGGTGGCCAGATGGAAGCTACTCCTCAGTAAAAGGCACATGACAGCCCACTTGGGATTCTCAGACCACTTGGGACTCTCAGACCATCTGAAACAAGATTCTTTGATGAAACCAAGATTGAACTCTTTGGCCTGAATGCCAAGTGTCACGTCTGGAGGAAACCTGGAACCATGTTTTTCAGCGGCAGGGAAACTAGTCAGGATTGAGGGAAAGATGAACGGAGCAAAGTACAGAGAGATCCTTGATGAAAACCGGCTCCAGAATAGTCAGGACCTCAAACTGGGGCGACGGTTCACCTTCCAACAGGACAAAGACCCTAAGCACACAGCCAATACAACGCAGGAGTGGCTTCGGGACAAGTCTCTGAATGTCCTTGAGTGGCCCAGCCAGAGCCCGGACTTGAACCCGATCGAACATCTCTGGAGAGACCTGATAATAGCTGTGCAGCAACACTTCCCATCCAACCTGACAGAGCTTGAGAGGATCTGCAGAGAAGAATGGGAGAAACTCCCCAAATACAGGTGTGCCAAGCAAACTCATGGCTGTAATGTTTCAACAAAGTACTGAGTGAAGGGTCTAAATACTTATGTAAATGTGATATTTCCGTTTCTTTGTTGTTGTTTTTAATTTTTATTCTAAAAATCTGTTTTTGCATTATCATAATGGGTTATTGTGTGTAAATTGATGAGGGAATAAACAATTAAATCCATTTTAGAATAAGGCAGTAACGTAACAAAATGTGGAAAAAGGGGTCTGAATTCTTTCCGAATGCACTGTAGGTAACCAGATCGTTACTACCCACTGGGCACATACTGTTTGAATCAAATTTCAATTAAATTACGTTGAACCAATGTGGAATAGACGTTGAATTGACATCTCTGCCCAGTGGGTAAGTCTTTGACCACACTATGCTGTTACTTTGGTGAGTAAAAATTCATGCTTCCTACCCTTTTAAGGTTAAAATGATATTATAAAAACTTTTTTTTGGGGGGGGGGGGGGGGGGGGGATTTGACAACCCTGTTTGTAAGCTTTTAAATTATAGCAATCTCAACCATTTATATTTTCCAGACATGGATGTCTCATGGTATGGGGGGTATGCAAAATAGGTCTACTTTGAGCACTTTTATCTCCTTGAATATTTTGGCATTCAGGTCCAAAATGTCACTTTCTGAGCACTTCTACAATGGGCAAATATGTATGGAAGGTTTCATTCAAATCAAAAGCGGTGCTGTCAAAAAGTGATTGAATTCAAATAGATTTACCCAAAAGGGACAAAGTGTTGTTGTTTAATTTAACTCAAAACCAAAATTCTAGGTGCCCTGAAGAAAAATCTGACGGCAGACCAAGTCAAAGAGGACCTTCTCGCTTTAGGTATGTTGTAATATGAAATCCCATATACTGTCAGTGGTGGAAAAAGTACCCAATTGTCATACTTGAGTAAAAGTAAAGATACCTTCATAGAAAATTACTCAAGTAAAAGTGAAAGTCACCCAGTAAAATACTACTTGAGTAAAAGTCTAAAGGTATTTGGTTTTAAATATACTTAAGTATCAAAAGTAAATGTAATTGCTCAGATATACTTAAGTACAAAAGTGAAAGTATAAATTATTCCAAATTCCTTATATTAAGCAAACCAGACTGCACAATTTTAGTTTTATTTTAGTTTTTGGATAGCCAGGGGCACACTCCAACACTCAGACATCATTTACAAACGAAGCAGGTGTGTTTAGTGAGTCCGCCAGATCAGAGGCAGTAGGGATGACCAGGGATGTTCTCTTGATAAGTGCAATTTTCCTGTCCTGCTAAGCATTCACAATGTAACGAGTACTTTTGGGAGTACTTTTGGGTGTCAGGGAAAATGTTTGGAGTAAAAAGTACATCATTTTCTTTAGGACTTGTTCTCAACTGGCTTACCTGGTTAAATAAAGGTGAAATAAAATAAAATTAAAAAGTAAAAGTTGTCAAATATAAATAGTAAGGTAAAGTACAGATACCCAAAAAAACGACTTAAGTAGTACTTTAAAGTAATTTTATTTAAGTACTTTACACCACTGAATACTGTACGTATCAAAGCTAATAAATATTCCTGTCTCCACAGTCCTCATTACTAATGAGTTTTAGTGTCATTGGACAACATATATAATGTTGTATAATCTTTTCATTTTTAGGACTCATTGAAGACAAGGCAGCCCATTTTTCACAACAGGTATATTTTATATCATATCCTCCATGCTGTGTCAGTACTCTATTTAAGTACAGTGTTCAATTGAGAAAAAATGTAAAATATGTATTTTATATATATATATATATATTTTAGTGGAACCTCCACTACGCTGTGTTGTCCAGGCTGGCTGTAGGACAGACTCTGATGGTCAACCAGCTGGTGGACATGGAGTGGAAGTTTGGTGGTAAGACTTCAGTTTAATCAGGGACCGATATTTTAGGGGCCTGTAGAGCAGTAGTGCTGATCTAGGATCAGTTTAGCCTTTTTAGATAATAATGAATAATTATATGGAAAGGAAGGACCTGATCCTAGATCCGTACTCCTACCCTGAGATATTTACGAATAGGGGCCCAGGATAGAATTGCCGTTGTAAATAACCCTCATCGTATTATAGATAGATGGATGTTTTATGTTGTATATAGTGTGCATTTGGGATGGATGAATTACCCTATTCCGGGTCCTCTCCATTAATGTACATAAAGGATGAGGGTGAAGGGGAGAGAAAGGGGGCAAGACGGAGATGTATAAAGGCCACTAATTCGCTCTATACACTTGAATAGGCACGACCAGAGCCTTGTATTTAGAGAGTTGGGCCAATGCGGTTTCTGCATTATGATGCATTTACATGACACTTCAACATTCTGTGGCAGCCATTTTTTGCCCGGGCCAAACACTTCTTGCTCCGATCAAACGCTACGTCACAACCACGGACGTTAGTTTCTTCGCCGCAATGAGTCTGGATCTGAATACCTCCCCTAGGATTTCTAGAACGCAAACACATTCTAACCATTCTGATTGGTCCCAGAAACCGATGGGTTGGGCCAGAGCCAGAACACACGTGGGTAAAGGGGTGTTTTGAAAATGTAATTGGCTTTGATACTCTGATTGCTTAGAGGATCCAATCACTGATGACTTTGTTTTGTACAACACCCCTCATCAGAAACGACTTCAACGATGGCAGTCTGACTGAAGTATGTAGCAAACATAGAGAAGTGCGCTTGTCTATAATCCAAGCGTCTAGAGCACTTGGCTGAAGCCCAGCTAATGGTGTTTACTTTGACTTTGGATTCAAATTTAAATGCCTCTCTCTTTTGATAGTTAAAAGTGCTGTTCAATTACAATATGGACAATGTACAATAAGGCATTGTGATTAAATGCACAATTGAATGTTGTCTGTCTCCATAGTGACCGTGGGGACAAGTGAACTTCAGAAAGTTGGAAACACCTTTCTACAGGTATTATTTATGTTGCTATCATGATTACGTATAAATGTACAGTGCCTTCAGAAAATATTCATACCCCTTGACTTATTCCACATTTTGTTGTGTTACAGCCTGAATTCAAAATGGATTACGTTGATTTTTTTATCTCACCCATCTACACACAATACCCATAATGACAGTGAAAACATGTTTTTCTAAATTTTTGCAAATGTATTGAAAATGAAATATAGAAATATCTAATTTACATATGTATTCACACCCCTGAGTCAATACATGTTAGAATCACCTTTGGCAGCGATTACAGCTGTGAGTCTTATTCAAGGTCTGTCAAGTTGGTTCTTGATCATTGATAGACAGCCATTTTCAAGTCTTGCAATAGATTTCTAAGTTGATTTAAGTCAAAACTGTAACTAGGCCACTCAAGAACATTCAATGTCGTCTTGGTAAGCAACTCCAGTGTATATTTGGCCTTGTGTCTTAGGATATTGTCGTGCTGAAAGGTGAATTTGTCTCCCATGTGTCTGTTGGAAAGCAGACTGAACCAGGTTTTCCTCTAGGATTTTGCCTTAGCTCTATTCCGTTTCTTTTTATCCTAAAAAAAACTCCCTAATCCTTGCCGATGACAAGCAGCAGCCATCACTATGCTTGAAAATATGAAGAGTAGTACTCTGATGTGTTGGATTTGCCCCAAACATAACACTTTGTATTCAGTACAAAAAGTAAATTTCTTTGCCACATTATTTGCAGTTTTACTTTAGTGCCTTATTGCAAACAGGATGCATGTTTTGGAATATTTGTATTCTGTACAGGCTTTCTTCTTTTCGCTCTGTCATTTAGGTTAGTATTGTGGAGTAACTACAATGCCAGTTTTCTCCTACCATAGCCATTAAACTGTTTTAAAGTCACCATTGGCCTCATGGTGAAATCCCTGAGCGGTTTCCTTCCTCTCTGGCAACTGAGTTAGGAAGGACGCCTGTATCTTTGTTGTGACTGGGTGTATTGATACACCATCCAAAGTGTAATTAATAACTTCATCATGCTCAACGGGATATTCAATGTCTGTTTTGTTTTTTTACCCATCTACCAATAGGTGCCCTTCTTTGCGAGGCATTGGGAAACCTCCCTGGTCTTTGTGGTTGAATCTGTGTTTGAAATTCACTGCTTGACTGAAGGACCTTACAATTATCTGTATGTGTGGGGTAGAGAGATGTGGTAGTCATTCAAAAATCATGGTAAACACTATTATTGCAGTCCATGCAACTTATGTGACTTGTTAAGCACATTTTTACTCCTGAACTTATTTAAGCTTGCAATACAAAGGGGTTGAATACTTATTGACTCAAGACATTTCAGCTTTTCATTTTTTATTAATTTGTAAATTATTCTAAAAAACATAATTCCACTTTTATTATTGGGTATTGTGTGTAGGCCAGTGACACAAAATCTCAATGTAATCCATTTTAAATTCAGGCTGTAACACAACAACATGTGGAAAAAGTAGAGTGGTGTGATTTACTTTCTGAAGGCACTGAATAGATTGACCAGCTTATCAAATATGGCAAATAAAATATGGATTCAGTGTGTATCTGCTGTCTAGACCATAAACCCATAGCTTAGAGGTTAAAATAATGATTGATAAACAGTCAAATATTTTGTAAGAAGTGTGAATTATAAATGTTATAGCTTTATGGGCTAACTGACTGAACGATGAGGGTGTGATAGATCGCTATGACAACAGTTTTAGCCGTTAGTTTTCACGGTCTGTTTTCCAACTTGTCAGAATTCCTGCGGACTGCTAAATACTGTATTTTTCCCCTTCAGCTGCTTTGATTTGTTGACAAAAATATGTTGACACATAGTGAAACTAGCACTCTGAATGACCATAGCATGAGTATATGTTTAGTACTAGCACAATATACAGAATCTGTCCTCACCATGTCTAATATTTCGAAGACATTGGCACATTTCTGTGTTCTACTACACTATTTGAAAATATCTCTACATCTCTTCCAGCTTAAGTTGGTCATCAGAAAGGGGAACTCAACTGAAAATGTCTACATGGGTGAGTCTCTAACTCTTAACCCCAGTCAATATGTCATTGGTTCACTTTGCTTATTGTTCTTGGTATCATTCACAGATTTGGTCTGTTTTTTTGTTCTTTCTTTAGAGTTGACCCTTCCCCAGTTTTACAACTTTCTCCATGAAATGGAGAGGGCCAAAGCCAGTATGGACTGTTTCAGCTGAGCCTGATCGCCAGTAGCATGAGAATGTACTGAATATGTGTCCTAGAGGGGCAGCAGAAAACATGAGTGGAGATGCCAGTGACAGTGATTGACACTGGGTGTGTCCCAAATGGCACCCTATTCCCTTTATAGTGCACTACTTTTGAACAGGGGCAATTTGGGACATGCATGGAGTTCAAAATAGAACATACAGAATCTGAATGAATGTTCCAGATTCTCACATACCATTCCAAGATTTCAATATTGTTTGTGTTATTTTGACATTTGTCTTTTGAAACGTGCACAATTGTTTTGCAGTAGTGATTTTGTGTGCGTGAGTAACTGTCCGTGGGTTTGTTTTGAGAGAAAGTATTATATTGTAACCCAATGACTTTAATTCCATTGGCTGTCACTACAAGTGATGTGAGGCATACGTGTGACAATTTTTTGCAATCCCTCATCATTTATATTACAGATTTGCTTAACTTTATTTGTATCAAAATCAAATGGAACATGATTCAAATTTTTCTCCAAATAAAGTATTCAGATGTTGTCATATTGGTCTGCTGTAGTTATTCACATAATGATGAATGAATGATAGAAATTCTGAATAATATCCTCAGACAATTACACAACAAGACAGTCAGCTATTACGCTGACATAGAAGATACTGTCAAATTGGTTCTAATAACAGGTTTCAGTAGATATTCCACTGACACCATCATGAGATAAAACTTTTTTTCTATACTTTTCCCCCCCTACCCTACCATCCCTACCCTAATTGTAATAAACAAACAGACAACAATACTTCTACTGCTACTTTAAGCTATTTCACTCACATCTACGGTACCTGTAGTTAATTAATTATAGATGTATTCCTAATTTCCTTTTTCTTCAAGTGCTGGATTTTTAACCACAGCGGCCAATCCACCATTCATTCTGATCTTAACTCCAACCCTCAGATATCCACAGATGAATCCATCTTTCCCAGTATAATGCCATTTTGCTATTTCCTTTTGCAATACATACCTCCATTTTACTATGATGTCTTACAAGGGTCCTGAACCTCACTATTTGTAAAATGTCTACCGATATTGCCCGAAAAATATACTTTACCAAAGAGTATAAGGATATTTCCCATTGACTGAATGTGTTTTTTCAGATCCTCAACAATACAATTTGCAGGTCCATCTGAACCCTGATATTATGACAACCATTTCTGGACCTGACTCCAAAAGTGACCCACCGATGGACAGTACCAGAAAATATGTTCCATTGATTCTGTTTCCTCATGGCGGAGTGCACAAGGCTGACTGTTTAATGCCTCATATATTGAGCATTCTTTTTGTAGCAAGTATTTTATATAATTGCTTAAATTGAAACAAACAGATTGATATGTCAATGATTGTTTTATATGTCAGTTCATAGACCCGATGCCATGGTATTGGAACATCAAAAAACTGTTCCCAACTGACTTGAATTGTATATGGTATTGCTGTCAAACTTTTTGACTTTAAGTGAAACTGATATATTTTTCGATTTATACTAATAATTTCAAGTCATTTATGATTTTTAATGGGTGGCAGACAGATTAATTATTGAATTTCTTTAAGTAATTGTCTCTTCCATTTTTGTGGCAGAGCAACGATGAGTTGGTTATAATTTTGTATTGAGCATACACCTCCATACACTATTGTTAGTCGCTTGTGTGACAATTTTACCGTTCTTGTTTACAATGTCCTTCGTAGATATTATACCCTTCTTATACATTTATTATACTTTTTTTTTTCACTATCAGTATATTGGAGTTTAGCCATATTATTTGCTGTAATATTAGAACTGCCTTTGCTGGAGGATGAAATTGAAATTGTAACCAACTATATGACTTCATAATTTTTGGGGGGATACTTTAAACAGGGATCCATTGTCGTCTTGGGTTTAATGTATTTTCTTTCTGAACACATCTTCTGCCTGGTCCTACTCACACACACTCTTTCAGTTTCTCAAGTTGCTGGCCTCCCAAAATCTGGGATTCAATCTCACTCTCCCTCTTCACCCGCTTCTCCTCTTTCATATTTTTATCCGCTCTTCCCTCTGTTAGGCCTACTGCTGCTAGGTAGCTCTCTCTCTGCTCTCTCCCTCCCCTCTGTCTGTTTTGATTGCAGGAGTGAAGTCTGGTGTGCGGGAGTCAGGGTTCCAGCTGCAGCTCATTCACCATAATCACCTCAGCCTTAAAGACCCGGTCAAACTTGCCACTCATCGTCAGATCATAGTCAAGACGACCATGTTAGTCTCGCTGTTGACTCAACCTGCTTGTTTTCGCTCTTTGTGTTTTTGGCCTGTTCTATTTACTTTTCTCCTGTGCCACAGATTATTGGAACCTGACTCCTGCCTCCGCTTCACTCCTGCCACCACCATCCTGCTTTCCACTACCGGACCTCCCTTTTGGACTCACCACGGACACTAGGACGTTACGGTACCACTCCTGCTCAGAACGTGGATCTGTTACCCTCCCTGTAAACCTGGACTTGCTCTTCCCCTATTTTTGGAAACCTGGACAATTGCACATTGTAAATAAACCTGTTAAACCTTCTCTGGCTCGGTGTAGTTGTCTGCATTTGAGTTCATATCTAGTTAAATCGTGACACCCTCCCTACCTCCCTGACAATCCCCTGCAAGTCAGTGCTTGTCCCAGCCGATACTAAGCCTATTCACAAGCAGAAAGGAGGCAGATATTGGTCTCTACTTAAGTGGGCTCCAGAAGTTTTGGGACAGTGACACATTTTCTGTTGTTTTGGCTCTGTACTCCAGGACTTTGATACAATCACTATGAGGTTAAACTTTAATTTGAGGGTATTTTCATCCATATCAGGTGAACTGTTTAGAAACTACAGCACTTTTTGTATATAGTCCCCACATTTTAGGGGACCAAAAGTATTGGGACATTCACTAATGTGTAGTAAAAAGTGTAGTATTTAGTCCCATATTCCTACCACACAATGACTACATCAAGCTTGTGACTACAAATGTGTTGGATGCATTTGCTGTTTGTTTTGGTTGTGTTTCAAAATATTTTGTGCCCAATAGAAATGAATGGTAAATAATATTGTCATTTTGGAGTCACTTTTATTGTAAATAAAAATAGAATATGTTTCTAAACACTTCTACATTAATGTGGATGCTACCATGATTACGGGTAATCTTGAATTAATCGTGAATAATGATGAGTGAGAAAGTTACAGACGCACAAATATAATTCCCCCAAGACATGCTAACCTCTCACCATTACAATGACAGGGGAGGTTAGCATTTTTGGGGGGTTATGATATTTTTGCGTCTAACTTTCTCACTCATCATTATTCACGATTCATTCAGCATTATCCGTAATCATGGTATCGTCCACATTAATGCAGAAGTGTTTAGAAACATATTCTATTCTTATTTACCATAAAGGTATATGATCCAGTAAAACAAATATATGAGATATATTGATGCACATGACACAGTTTTGAAAGGAGGAGGAGGGAGGAGAATTCTATTAATACAGTGAGGGAAAAAAGTATTTGATCCCCTGCTGATTTTGTACGTTTGCCCACTAACAAAGAAATTATCAGTCTATAATTTTAATGGTAGGTTTATTTGAACAGTGAGAGACAGAATAACAACAAAAAAAATCCAGAAAAACGCATGTCAAAAATGTTATAAATTGATTAGCATTTTAATGAGGGAAATAAGTATTTGACCCCTCTGCAAAACATGACTTAGTACTTGGTGGCAAAACTCTTGTTGGCAATCACAGAGGTCAGACGTTTCTTGTAGTTGGCCACCAGGTTTGCACACTTCTCAGGAGGGATTTTGTCCCACTCCTCTTTGCAGATCTTCTCCAAGTCATTAAGGTTTCGAGGCTGACGTTTGGCAACTTGAACCTTCAGCTCCCTCCACAGATTTTCTATGGGATTAAGGTCTGGAGACTAGCTAGGCCACTCCAGGACCTTAATGTGCTTCTTCTTGAGCCACTCCTTTGTTGCCTTGGCCGTGTGTTTTGGGTCATTGTCATGCTGGAATACCCATCCACGACCCATTTTCAATGCCCTGGCTGAGGGAAGGAGGTTCTCACCCAAGATTTGACGGTACATGGCCCCGTCCATCGTCCCTTTGATGCGGTGAAGTTGTCCTGTCCCCTTAGCAGAAACCCCCCCCAAAGCATAATGTTTCTACCTCCATGTTTGACGGTGGGGATGGTGTTCTTGGGGTCATAGGCAGCATTCCTCCTCCTCCAAACACGGCGAGTTGAGTTGATGCCAAAGAGCTCAATTTTGGTCTCATCTGACCACAACACTTTCACCCAGTTCTCCTCTGAATCATTCAGATGTTCATTGGCAAACTTCAGACGGGCCTGTATATGTGCTTTCTTGAGCAGGGGGACCTTCAGGTGCTGCAGGATTTCAGTCCTTCACGGCGTAGTGTGTTACCAATTGTTTTCTTGGTGACTATAAATAATAATAATAATATGCCATTTAGCAGACGCTTTTATCCAAAGCGACTTACAGTCATGCGTGCATACACATTTTGTGTATGGGTGGTCCCGGGGATCGAACCCACTACCTTGGCGTTACAAGCGCCGTGCTCTACCAGCTGAGCTACAGAGGACCACTATGGTCCCAGATGCCTTTAGATCATTGACAAGATCCTCCCGTGTAGTTCTGGGCTGATTCCTCACCGTTCTCATGATCATTGCAACTCCACGAGGTGAGATCTTGCATGGAGCCCCAGGCCGAGGGAGATTTACAGTTATTTTGTGTTTCTTCCATTTGCGAATAATCGCACCAACTGTTGTCACCTTCTCACCAAGCTGCTTGGCGATGGTCTTGTAGCCCATTCCAGCCTTGTGTAGGTCTACAATCTTGTCCCTGACATCCTTGGAGAGCTCTTTGGTCTTGGCCATGGTGGAGAGTTTGGAATCTGATTGATTGATTGCTTCTGTGGACAGGTGTCTTTTATACAGGTAACAAGATGAGATTAGGAGCACTCCCTTTAAGAGTGTGCTCCTAATCACAGCTCGTTACCTGTATAAAAGACACCTGGGAGCCAGAAATCTTTCTGATTGAGAGGGGGTCAAATACTTATTTCCCTCATTAA